TTTTTTTTTTTTTTTTTTTTTTCCTTGGCTTATAATAGTTATGTTGTTACCTGAAACATAGTAGAGGGTAAATGCACATATCACCAAATACCTGTGCTAAAATTGCATTTTGATTTGTTTATTTCATTTTCTGAAGGGGTTTGCATGTCATCATGCATTGTTGGCGAAGCTGATTATAGCGACACTGAAATTATCCAGCGTTTGGAAGAGATGTATCGGGTATATGTTTGTGATTTTCTTATGTGAAGAACTTTTATATATATATATATATCTATATATATACAGATATATATATATGTATATATATATATATATATATATCTTATGTGACGAACTTAACTTACAAAGTTTGACCTAACTTTGCTGAGTCGTTATTCCACCAGTTGCTTTTGAGAAAGTCGGATTATGAGAAGCAGAAGTTGGTTCTGAAATTGTCTACAACTATAGATGCACCTCGACCAGCACTCTGTTCTGCATGTTGTGTCTTTAGCCCTGATGTAATTTGTAGAAGGTCTGGCTTGGAATGTTGGCTGAAAGCTCAACCTGTACTTGATGAGACAAGCCTCTGCCTTGATTTGGAGTTGTTGCAACATCTTACAAAGATCGCTGTGGTCGACAGTAAAGAACAGCATAATGTGAGTGGTCTCATGTCTCATTCTAGTAAGAAGCTATCAGAGATATATTTGCTTATTCATTGTGCTAACTTGACGTTTCACTTTGCCATAAATGACAGGCGTTACTCGGGCTGTCGAGCCTTTTGAGGTCATCTTTGAACTTCTCGTTGTGTTATTCATCAAGGCCTCCAACTGACTTTTCACCTCACAACAACATTTTGTGGATCCTAGATGCATGGGAATCAGTCCATGGAGGTCAGTGTTGCTCTGGAAATTAGCATTGTGGTGTTACTCATATTTTGATAGTTGATTTCTTCTTGTCTTCTGCTGCAGCAAATGAAAAAATTTCTGCTTCTATTCTGGATATGTGGTTTAGATGGCATGCAACTCTATGGGAACCCTGTCCGATGCTTGCAGAGGTACTTATGAACAACTAAGTAGCTTTATTAAAATATTGTATTTCGTGCTAAATAAATTTGAATTTTTTATGCATGGGTCATGCAGATGATTCCTGATGATAATATCTTTGGAGTTCTGCTCCCCCACAAGCTCTTTTGGCCTCTGAAATTGGCAGCAGTCAAGCAAATTCTGTAATCTCTCTCTCTCACTCTCTCTACACTGACCCACTCCCCTTTGTCGTTTTATCCCACCCACTCATCTCATTCATTGCTTTATAATTTTACAACTAGTACAACTCCCGTGTATTACACGGGTGTTTGCTAATTTTTTCTTAAAATATAAAATTAATGAGAAAAATTAATTGAAAATTTCAATACCTTTTATAAAAATATATATATTATTATATATTTAGTATGACACCTTTTTATTTGTGCGACTTACCTGTGTTATATTATAATAATTTTTTTAACTTACAACATATAATTACATTAAACATAAATATATCAATTGATAAATAATTTTATTTTTCTAATGATTTTTAATAAATATTATTATTTTTTATTATTATAAAGATAAATATAATTTATTTATTTCATATATACAATATGGATGTCAAATCGAAGATCATCAAAAGAAGATTAATTTGATATATCATACATGTAAAACCAATATGAAATACAAAAGTTATCAACTTTTAAAATAAATTTACAATTCAATAGCTAATTGAAGAAAACAAATCAAAAGTCAGGGATATATTAGTCACTTAGTGTCTCACTATATAAAATTACAAAGAGTTAAAGGGTTATATTAGTAAAAGTAATATTAAAATACCTAAGTTAGCTAAATAATATTTATGGAATGTCCGAACCTAAATTATTAATTATTAATATATCAATATTATTTGTCCAAACCTAATTACGAAGCATGATTTTTCGCCAAGTAAGATTCTGAAGCACCAGAAACAGCCACGTAGGCTCAGCGCATTCAGGAATTATATATAGGGAGGATAGTGTGAAATATAGGTACACTGAACTTTTGAAGCTCATAAGCTTCTGATCTTGAGTTCAAAAAACTGTTTAATGTGTGCTCGTTAGTGAAAAATTTTATGTAAATGCGAAATGCTTGCTATCTATCTCATTTGCACCTTTAAAATGTAATGATGTTTTTCATTAAGATTTTAGCTGCTCTTGCTCTTGCTGTTATTAATTCTTATTCTTGCCCTGGTCTGTCATTGGTTGTTAATGTTTTCCTCCATTAATCAACTTTGTGTTCATTTCATTTACCTTCACACTGTTCCATGCTCAGGCAAAATCCATATCCCATTAGAGATTACCACTTGTATAAGTACAAGCTTAGAGCTGCTTCACGTAATATTTGGCGAAGTTCTATAAATATGTCAAATTCACACGATATGCTTCTCTCCGTTGCACGGTCTCTTGTTCACCAGGTGATTCCGATTCCGTTGATGAGAAATTGCTCTTTATCGTTGTTTTTCCAAAACCAGTCGTTTTAAATTGGATATCCTGCTTTGTATTCATGATCGCAGATAATTTATGCACACAAGAAGTCATATGATGATTCAAACTATGCCAAAATACGTTCCGCTCTCCAGCATATCCAGTCATCCAGGACATGGGTATATCTCTTCTCTTGCACTCAACTTGTTATGTCATAAGATTGAACAGTTCCTTGTACTATTGTTTCCCTCTTTCGTGTATCACAGTTTCTCAATTTTAAGAGTTCAATGCTTATTTTTAGCATGAAGTTTTGTGTGATCAAAATTTCCTTATTTTGCTCTTTTACTTTCAGACCACACTCTTAGCTCTCTTTCCTCTCCACGTCTGTGACTGACTCTTTCTAATATTGCAGCTACAAGATGTGAAGGATATTGTTTCACTTCTAGCGTCATCCAACCATAATGTATTCAAATCTTTGATAAGTTCTTATGTTGAGCCGCTGCTTGGTGAACTATATCCAACACACCCTTCTGAAGGTTAGAACCTCCTACATTTTCGGTGGTTTTCAGAATCTCATTTACTGATACTTTATTAAGGTTCTTGTTCCATCCCAACAAAACATTTTCTTTGTACCCAAACAATCTCTTTTTCTTTTTCTTCGTTGTCCAAACTCTTCAGATATCCATAACCTTGGGTGTGCATGGTTGCGGATTGGAGGGTTACGCTATAATCTCTTAATATGCTGTGATGATCTGGATCCCACTTTAAAATACACTGTCAGATATTCAGAATTATCTGAGAAGATAGCATTGCTTGAGATTGAGATTGAGGTAATTGTCATTTACCTTTTGCTAAATGTCTGCTTATTCTGACAAGTTATATCAATTATTCAACGTGTAGAAGCATGCAATGCGTGTCAGAAGCTTTTTTGCCTGGCACAAGATGTCAATTTGGTATTTGTTTGTATCTCCTTAAAGTATATGCAGGCGCATCTGCTTCTACTTAATATCCATCAACTATGCTTACTGTTTCACTCTATGCATTGGAATATTTATCTTTTTAACTTCTGATGTAGATTCATTGACACATGAATACCTTTTATTTGACATCATACTATTTTGAATTGGATGGGTCAATTTTATAATCCCGAAAGTTAATTGAATCAGGCTTGTGTATATATGTGAATAACTGACACTGCCTAGTTTAGTAAAGATGTATGACCTTAGAAAAAATTGCATATGTCTGTCTTTTTTTATGTTTTGTTGTGGCATAAATTTAGCACACATCCTTTTACCTGTGAATTCCATCTGGAGACACAATTTGCTGTCAGCACCCTGTGACGTTCAGCTGAATACACTAATGCAGGTCCGGAAAGAGTGCATCTATTTAGCTGGAAATGCTAATCAGAGAGAAGCTGATATTTACAAGATAAATTTGCTAGAAGAACTCAAAGCTGAAAGGAGAAAGCTTCATAAAAAGGTTGGCCACAGACATATATCATTTTATTCCAAGCTAAAATGCTGAATGACTAGCATAGCTATGACACCTTGACAGTGTTCCATTTTTGTTCCTCAATTTGTATTCTATGAGCAAGATGTTTGTTTGTTGTACGAGATTATATTCTTCTTTTAAAAAAGAAAAAAAATTGCAAGCGAACAAAATGGCAGAACGAGTTGGACTCACACACACACATGCATGTTTGCATCTATGGCTTCTTACTACCTTGAACCTTTTTCAAGATCCAAAGCTTTAAACTTATTTTCTACAGATTCTTTAAAGTTGAACAAGCCTTTCCTCTTGCTCTGTAGTTAGAATACTCGGAAAATACTGAGCTACATATATTGAGTCAACATGACTATAACAAAGTTCACAGAATTGTGATGCTTCAGAGTAGTATGCTTTCTTATATGTGCATTCTCCTGCAACTTTTTCCATAATTATGGTTACCTACGACTCTTCTAAATAGCCGGTCAATCTTTTCATTTATCATTTTGACACATGCTATTGAATTCACGCCCTCACTTAACGATGTTTGCCTGTATCAGATGGTGTTCCGTCCCAATCCAGAAAAATATAAGGAGTTGAAGCATATGTGTGATGAGTTCCTTGTGTTGGTTACATCTATTGTTGAATGGACCAATAATCTCAAAAGCTTGAGAATAGAAGACATTACTGGCCAAGTCCACAATTGGCAGGTAATGCGGGTGTCCGAATTCTTTTAGACATGATTTGAGATACTGTCAACACGATTCCAGAAAACTTTTTTGTTTAATATATGCTGATATGTTAGACCACACCTTAATTAGTTGGTCCCTCATTATGCAGGAGATCACTTCACGCTTCATTGATCGGTTAGCAAATGAATACTCATCATACGCAGATGTCATTGAACCTGTGCAAGTTTCGGTATATGAAATGAAATTAGGTTTGTCATTAATTGTGTCTGGCCTACTCTATAAGCACGTGGCTAAAACCGGTGAAGAGAATACGGATTCTGTTCTGGTAAATTGAAGAATCATATGCTTCATCAAATCCTATTATTCGTTTCGTATAGTTTCCGCGAGTTGATTCTTGAAATTTTGTTGGCAGAGCATGGTTCATAAATTTGTGAAATTTCCAAGGCTGTGTGCGTCTAGAGCTGTTTCGGTCACTGTTGGGAGGCAACCCTTACTTTTTACCCGTGATATTCAAATGCCGATGAGTATCGATGAAGTAGATACGAGTATGCTGCACAATGTAATTGGCTTTACAATTGGTGCTGTTTCAGACAAAGAGAATCTTTCTTGTGCACTGGTAGGTGATACTTCGTAGTGTCTGAAATGAATATTGAGATTCTTTGTTATCTTGCATGTGTGGCTATTTGAGCATAGCTGTGTTACCATGAATTCCTAGGGTTTTTTGAGATATTTTGATGCCTAACATCCTATCATATCTTACATCAGGACTCAACCCTGCCATGGAAGGTTTCCATCTACCACAATGTTCTTGCTCGAATCAAACATTCCTCTGCCGATGCTGGTTTTCTTGGTGGTTTTTCCTTCAAGGTATAATCCTCGTATTTGGTTATGGCTTACTAGAGAAAGTTGAATTTGTAGTCCCAAGTTGGGGATTTTTGGAATGATTTTTGATCAACTTTTAATATCAGAACTAATGATGCAAACTGACGAGCCATTTATTTTTTTAACCACTAACCAGTCTTCTGATGTATGCCATATGTTATTTCAGCGTGTACTTGAAATCTTTGAAGACATTGCCGATTTCTGGATAAAGAATCGCTCAAAGCCAACTGATGAGAGCAATGCGCAGCAGTTCAAGTTCAGAGCCAGAGTTTTTAAGATGGAGAGTATCATTGATATTGATGTATCAAATTGTGCGAATTTACTTGCGAATGATAGCTTCTCAGAGTGGCAGGAACTTATAGCTGAAGAACTAGATGAGAAGGTGACATTATGTTTTCATGATGCATGGTTGTAAAGTGTTCATTGCATATGTGACATGTCGACAAACAATCATGAGATTTATCGACCTTCGACTTTTGCCCTTGCAGATAAGAGTTAATAAAGAAGATGACGCTTCGGATCTTAACTGGAAAGCTGAGGAGTCCGATTTAGATGGTATTGTCAACATTCACAATCAGTTATTTGGTTCTGTGGATCTTGTTCAAAGAGTAAGTCGGCACTAAAAGTTTCCTCTGTTATTTAGCCCCGTGAAGGCAAAGAATGTGTTAACTCAAAACTAGAATTTGTAGCATAAAATTTGTTTTTCAGTCAGATTCTTGATCCCTGTACATTCTTGAGTTCTGACTTGTGTTCCTTTGGTATTTTCTCCTAATATATGGAATTGTCTGTTCAGCCTGGCAGTATTCAAGTGTCTGACATGGATAGGTTGTCTTCCTTTGTTGGCTCTTATAAGCTGGGACTGAAAATGACTGAAGGTAATTGTTTTCTTGCATAGTCTCATTATAAGTAATCTAAATGTTTTGTTGTCTAAAACTTTCATATGCTCTTACTTCTCAGATCTGAAAGGTTCATTTTCCTCCACTTTCGATGCCAAGATTGCACCTGAACACTTGCTCCGTCTTTGCTTGGAGCATGATGATAAGATTACTCTTTCGCACAATTCAGCTCGTACCTACAACTTTTACAAGGTGCTTTTTCTTTTTCTCTTTCGCTTTGCGTAAGAAATAGTCTTTCGCTTTTAGCTCCAGACCGGAATGAATGTTACTAATGCTCCTTGCTCGTTGGTTCTTGTCAGGACTCAAATTCCCCCATGATGGCTAAATTGGTGGAACCAATTTCAGTTCTTAAACAGCGCATTCTTGTCTATCTGAAAGAATGGGATGATCACCCTTCTCTCCAAAAGATTATAGAAGTTATTGACATGATCTTAGCACTACCTATCGACACATCTCTTGCTAAGGTGGAATATCTTACTTTTCAGATGTTACTTTGAAATAGTTATCTGCAGACAGCAAACTGAAGATTCTGGTTGGAAATGACGGATCTCGTATTCTTGTTTCTGAACCAATTTTGGAATCTTTGCTAAAAATATTTGCGAACTATTGTATCTTGAGTTTGATAATGAGGCTTTTCGTTTCTTTTTATTGAGATCCTACCGACTTGTCGGAGAACTTCATTTACCAGTTATGTTAGACTGTTTTATTTATTTATTTATTTATTTATTTTGAATCCTGTAGGATAATAGGATTCTTGTACTGCATATGTAGCACATGTCAGCATCTTAGTATTTTAAACTAACACTTATTTCTCTTTGCAGGCTCTCTCTGCTTTGGAATTCCTCCTTGATAGAGTTCGGATTGTGCAAGAGACTGTAGCAAAGTTTCCTCTGTCGGGTGAGCAACTTTGTGTATTTTTGTTTGCATTTGGCTGTTCAGCAAACTATCTCAGTGAACTTTTGTTGTAAAACATTTTTCTTTTTGACAAAGTACCAAATAAACATAATATTTCTCATCTGCTGTCATTGTACTTGCAGAGCAATTGGAAACTATTTTTGCTTTAGTGTCCTCATGGCACAAGTTGGAGTTTGAATCATGGCCTACATTGCTTGATGATGTTCAATCTCAGTTCGAGAATAATGCTGGAAAAGTGAGTTCTCAAATTTTTTATTTGATATGTTGCTTGTTGAAGCAACATGTCTTTTAAACTTGCTTGCTCAATCAAAAATTCCATCAGTTAAAGCAAAGATACCTGGGAAAAAGCAACAAATCGATACTAAGTGAAAAAATAAGCATTCTTTCATTTGAATTGCATTTGATTGTAGTAGTTTCTAGGTGCTGGATTTGTTATCATATTTTAGTTATCTTCTTGTGAGAGGTTAGTACTCAAAGTTGCGATGTGTATTAAGTATGGCCTACACGGTAATATGTTTCTTGGGCTTCCAATTTGAGTATTTTGTGCATTTTTTGTTATCAAGGCTTTTCTGTTGATACCAATTACTTTTTTACTGGATAATGTGTTTCTGAATGATTATCCTTTGTCCTTTTTTAACTTTTTATTCTTATTTTCTTTGAATTCTTTTAATTGTGATGCCTTGTCCTATTTACAGCTGTGGTTTCCATTGTATCCCATTTTCCAACAAATAGATACTACCGATGTTGATCAACACAATAGCTCAATGATTGAAAGGCATGTATCTCTTTTTCTATACATAGCAGTGTACTTTTATCTTTTAATCAATGTCATTCCCTGATTAAGTAAATTTGCAGTTTGGAAGAATTTTTTAAGACGTCCTGCATCGGAGAATTTAAAAAGCAACTTCAGTTACTTCTTTCTTTCCATGGACAAATTAGCAGTGATTTGATGTGGAAATCTTGCACAAGGTAAGATATTAAGTCTGCTTCGTGTTCATATATTAGAGTCTGATGTCTTCCTGAGATATTGAGTTAGGACTATGCTGATTCACTTCCTTCTTTATTTCAGCTTTTATTTACGTGAACATTTGACTTCTGCATCATTGTGATTCATCCATTCGATTTATTGAGTTCTGTATAAAATTGCACAAGGATGATTACTAACAATGAATTATGCAGCCCCTGCCAAGAGGAGAATAAGAAAGTACTCTATAACACCTTTGGCTTCTACGTGCAACTGTTGCCACGGTACTAAAGGGTCTTCTTTGATTGATTATTATTTTTTGTAATTGTCTCTTATTGATTGTTATTAAGTTAATGGTTCTCCCTTTTTCCCCTTGTTTAGAATCCTGAAACATATTGAAACAAATAGGAGCAGCATTGAGAAAGAATTGAATGAACTTATGAAGTTGTGCCGTTGGGACCGCATTGAGAATTATTTGGCCATTGAGAGCTTCAAAAGAACCAGACTGAAACTAAGGAAGATTGTAAAGAAGTATACGGTAAGACTACAAACTCCATTGGGGTCAACAGTTCTTTGTTCAAAGTTAAATGCACCATGATGTAGCTATAAAGAATAAATGGCATACATATCATGTTGTATATATTAATTGCTTGATGAGCTTATTTATAAAATATGAAGAATCTTAAGCTTTGAACATCATAAGAAAATGAGATTTCACTCTACCTTATGAATTTCATTTTCGGGTGGTTTGTTATGGGTTTCGGCCTTGTGATAAGTTTGATGTATGGTTCGTGAGTCAACCGTATTTCCCTTCTTTTCTATACTTTTTTTCAAGATAAGTCGGCGTATAAATTAAATTGCTCAAAAGCAATAGTCACATTCTTCTTGGGTGTGTTAATTTATTGGATATATATACTTGTACAAGACTACGAGTTTTTCATCACTAAATAGTTGATGTTGACTTTTGCTGCCCCCTTTGATGTCTGTTCTATGTGTCATTCTTAACTTCCAATGTTAGCATTATCCATTTTAGTGCATTTTTTTTTTCTTTTTGTTAATATGTAGTACCTTTTCCTATATCTTCATAGGACTTGCTCCAACAACCTCTCATGGAATTCCTTGGTCGAGAAACTTCTCGAGGTGGGTTGAATACCCATTCCATTGAAGCCCAAAAGCAAATTAGTGATGCTTATGAGATCAGCAGGACTCTCCTTCAAGTTGTCTGCGATCAAACTCAATCCAAAGCCAAGGACAGGTAGACTTGTAAAGATCAATTTTTTTGTTTCTTTTCAGCTACATTCTTTTCTATAGGATTAAACACTTTTTTTTTTTTAATTTTGTTTGCGATCTCACAGCTGTATATGGTTTGCTGACTGGTGGAAGAACTTAGAGAGAGCCAGAGGTTTGATCATTTTTTCTTGATCTTTTGTAAAGTTAGCAATTTTCGATGTTGATATTCTTAAGCAAACAGAAACTCTATTTCATGCAGATGTTATGGTTGGCATCAAGGATAGTATACCTTCACAATCTTCTTGCTTTTCTAATTGGGATGAGAGAAACCAGCTGTGGCATACAATTGAGAACTTATGCTTGTCCCTAATTCATTGTGGTGAGCTCTGGGAGGACACTAGCAAGCGGTTGGGAAAAAGGAGGGCATTTTCGGACCTTCTAAAGCTCCTTGATAGTTGTGGATTGTCCAAGCATAGGAAATGTTTGGAGGTAATGTCAACCCTTATTTGATATATTCATTGTCATCCATTTCTTGAGTGTATAAATTTATCATCTGTTTGCAGTCTCAACAGTACTGCTTAAATTGAAACTTTTAACTTATTTCTTTCCTAATCCTATTTTAATATGTAAATCTAATGTGTCTGGTTCGTTTAGTAGATTGGGTTATCTTTTGTTTTCATTTTATAATAACTAATTTATTATGTCATGTAGGGTCAATATGAAAAGTCATGGCTTCTTCAGCCATCCTATGAAGTGCAGCATTTGTTGCTGGCTCGAAGTGGCAGTTCTTCTCAGATCATTGATGTTGACTTTGATCATCTTCAGAATTCGTCTTGTGAACTCATATGGAAAACAGCAAATAAGTTCTACTTTAAGAGCATTGCATCCGTCAAATCTCTGGAGAAAATATGCCTGAATTTTCACAAAGATTTTAGTCTCGTACAGGTAACTTTGGAGAAATTGTGGACAAGTTAATGGACTACTTGATTTAGTTATTTAAGCCCCTGTTATCTTCTCTATCAAAATTACTCAGCATTAATTTCTATTTTATGAACTGCGCCTTTTAAGGAGGTCTGCATGTGTATATGAAAACCTTAAGGGAATATTTATAGCATTAAAGAGAAACTTGATTTTTCTTTTTTTTTTTTAACTTTTTTTTTGGTAATTTGAATACCTCAGATGTGGGTCTGTATATTGTTATGCCTTTTATTTTATGTACTTCCAATGATATTGCAAATAAACTTTTCATCCTTTTGGCAGTACAAAAGTTGGTGTTTATTTCTTCGTTAAAGCTTTTAGTTTTATGTTCATTAACATCAGATTGAAAACATTGTTGTACCTCTGTGGCAGGTTCGAAGGTCAGGTTCTTACGTTGATCATCTCATAGAGATACAACAAGAACAAAGAGCCGTTGCCTACAAATTTGCGAACAAACTAAAATGCTTGAGACAGTACATATGGCCTTTATCAAATTTGTTCAGTTCCATCAACTTGACTGGTGAAACTAGTTGTGATGCCCATTTAAGCAAGAACCAACATGTCACTTTCAAATGCATGTGGCAGCAAAAGGTAATTGCTTACATTTTTTATTCCAAAATTACACTGGCTAATTCCATTTTATAGTTCTCCGTCAAAATCCCAACCTAACCTTGTGCATAAATATTTCAGCAAATCTTTGATGGCTTCTGCTCTTTGCTTTATGAAGAACATCTGATGCTACAAAAAGTTGAGAACAATCATCTTGATTCTTGTTCTGATGTTAAAGATGGTGCAAAAGAACTCCGTCTATTCATTCATAAAACCCTTCCCGACTTTCATAAATCTAAGGTAAAATACAGTTGTAATCTCACGTCCTTATTGATTAGAGTTTGAACATTAGTTTTACATTTTTTTTTTTTTTTTGGTCTTTCCCAATTATCTCGACAGAATCTGCTAGATAACCATCTTCTTGGAAGTTGTGAAGATAATGCCATGATAAGAATTGTACTTCATCCTTATGGGGTTACAAAAGAAATGGAGCAGTTGGTGAATGATAATTTTGAGCTGATTAAATCATTCAAAAAGGAACTCGCTGCTTTCCGTGTGCCTCACGACCAGCTAGGAGCTGTTGCGAGTATCTTGCTCGGACATTTTGAAAATTTATTTGCGAAAGTATGTATAGTATTTACACTACCATCTAGTAGTTCTATATTTAATTTGTTCTTAAACATTGAAATATTAAATAATTCTCTATTGAAAAACTTTTGTAGGCTCGTAATGCTGAAGAGGTGTATTCTTCAGAGGCAAGGAAGTTCTCAAATAGTGGGAAAAATCTAATTCAACTCGAGCATGATTTCAACATCGTCCTCAAGGAAACGTACCAGCACATTCTTGGTGCATTTGAGAATGTTCGATCTTTGAGTTACGATTTCACTCTGACTGAGGAGACATTAAATAATATGAACCAGTGGAAAATTCTATTCGAGAAGGATGTAGAGCGCTTACAGCTAGACCTCATTTGTGAAGATGTGCTCAAAATTATCCAATCTGCTGTAAGTGCCATTTATATGTCAACTTAGGGTGTCATTGGATATGGATTTGATCCAAAAAGACCAATCATTTTTAATTCAGTCAATTTTTTTACTCAACTTTGACCCAACCCCACTATCCTCAATATTATCAATATAATTAAATAATATCGAACAATTATTCTTACAAATTACATCAACTTTAATTTACTCTTCATTGACTCACATAATATCAATCAATTTAATTATTTTACTTTAAATATTATTTTAATATAAACTCAAAATCCCACTAACAACTAACCATACCACATTTTTTTTTTTAAAATTAACTATAGTAAAAAAAAAAATCAACCAAAACTACAACAAATCCATATCCAATCACACCCTCATAACCCGAATTTTTATTCTGGTAATGTGATTTATGTGTTATTATTTTTCTCCTCAGGGAGAGCTTCTCAACTATGGTGGAGACAACAATTCTTGCATAAGTTCCGTTTGCCTAGAGTTGAAAAAGGTGCATGACCTTGTGGATATGATACTTGGCTTTGGCGATAATCTTCTGCAGGATTTCCTGGTTATCCACAGTATGGTAAGTGTTGCCAAATGTAACTTTGAAACTTGATGTTGTTTTTCTTTTTCTTTTTTTATTTTTATTTTAGCCTTAAGATGAACAAGATAGTGCAGAACTTGTTAAAGTATAGTAATAGACATAGAAAATTACAAAGAGCTAAAAATATTGCAACATAAACCTGAGGTTTGATTCAGTCTTAATTTTTAGATGTTAATTGTAATATTTCTAAGCCATGAAAAATTGCATTGTTCTGTTAACTGCAGGTATCTAAAGTGACCTACGCGCTTGCAAATATTTTGGCTTCATTATTTGCCAAAGGGTTTGGTATTACCGAGGAGCAAGAAAATGAGAGCGGGAAAGAGAAGACTGAAGAGGCACACGGCACTGGTATGGGTGAAGGTGTCGGTTTGAATGATGTCAGTGAACAAATAGAAGATGAAGATCAGCTCCTCGGAACAGATGATAAGGTATGGTTGCATTTTTTTAATCTTTTGCAAATTGTACCCTCGGGAGTGAGATATTCGTCACTTAAGACGGGGACAATTGCAATAGTACTCTTTAGGTTTGACCGAATTTGCAAATTGGAAGTTCCTTCTTTAAAGCATGTACAAAAGGTGTTAAAAAAACTATATGAATGAAATTGGTAGGGACCTTCCTTGATCCCTTATGTCGGAGGCGTATTCAAAAAAAAAAAAGTAAAATAAAATAAATAAATAAATAAAAACAAAAGAAGTTTTGAACTAGTTGCAAAGAATTCCTCAAAAGGTGATTGTAACTATGAAAGAAAAGTGGGATTTTCAGCAATTCATCTAAACCTCAAGTGTAGCTTTGCCAATGTCATTTATTTTAACATCACAAAACTCCCATTTTATTCGAGTCTTTTATTTCAACGTGTTTATTTTATTCATTCATCTATTCATTCATCAATATATTTTTCCTATTTCGAAAAGCCAAACGAAGAGCAGGATGCTAACATCCCGAGTAAAAACGAGAAAGGGATCGAGATGGAAGAGGATTTTGGCGGCGACACGTTCAGTGTCAGTGAGGACTCTGAAGAAGATAAAAATGACGATGAAGATGATCCGCAGCTGGACTCTGCCATGGGCGAAATCGGCGATGAGAATAATAACACAGTCAGTGAGAAAATCGGGGATCCACATGATGACGATGAGAACCAAAACTCGAACGAGAAGTACGAAAGTGGGCCCCCGGTAAAGGACCCCTCTTCCC